AAAAATTAATAAAAAGGAAAGAATATATAAATAAAGACTTACATTGACATGGCGGCGATCAAAAAAAATTAATATTTTTCTGTTAAATATTATTTTAAATTTTTTATTGCATTATAATTTTCTGGATTTGTTAGAGTTTATGTGTAACATCAATTAAAATAGATTGATAATTGCTAAAAGTAAAAAATGCTTAGAAAATAAAAACTAAATATGAATTATTTTTCATTACTTTATCAAATCTAATAAAGTAAATAATGTTCTCAATTAATCCCTATTTTTAAAATGATAGATAAAGGCTTGATTCTTATTTATAATGTCTATTAGTAAATAATTAAAATTAAGCTGGAGATGCTTATTCTTAGTTTAATCTGTTACATTTGTATTAAACTAATATCTTCTATTTATTAGTACCTTTTAGCTTTCTAATTTCTTCATAAATTCAAAGCTTTTATTAATCACATTAATTATACTTAATTAAAAAAATAAAGCTAGTTTTGTTTGTGTCTTAGAGATAGAGAGAAGCATTGATAACAAAAGATTCCAATATTTTATAAATGTTAGTGGCTATAGGCTACACAGGTTTTAATTTATCGAATATACTCTTTATTCATAAATATATACCCAAATTGAATGAGTCAAAGTTATCCTTAGAAAATATTTATTCTGCAAAATAAATTATCTAAGACTGAATGATTTGAAATTGATATTATATTAACCTAACTTTTAATATAATCTAAATATGCGATACTCATTTTTTGAATTCATTTGCTCTACTTTTCATGAATTAATTGACATATTTTAGAGATGCTTGTTGTTTGGAAATAGATATTTAGTCATGACTAATATATTGATACTATTAATCAATACTAATCCTGGCTAAAAAGACTATCAGAGGTATGGAATAATTAATTCTTGAAATAATTGGTCATTTTTGTAGTTTTCTTCTTTTGGGAATTTAGGAGATTAATCAAAGATTTAAACCAACGTATAGCAATAATAAGAGGATGAGTAATGCATGAATAAAATAATTAATGTTAAACAATAAATACAGCCAATAAGTTAATTCACCAAACTTTATTAAGGACAAATGGATTATTTAATTTTGTTAAGTTTTCATAATTGTAAATTTAAATTTTAGAACTAAATAAACGAGTATCAGTTTCTACTTTAGTCTGAATTTTATTTTTATTGAGATTTTAGTTTTTTTTAAATTAAAAACTATTAATTGAATATAAAACGATAAGAGAAATCGTTGTAATATGACCTATTAAATCTTAAATCAACTTAAATGAGAAAAAATAAAATTTACTTAAACATCCATCTATTGTATTTTCCTTTTAGACTTTTCTATTGTATTTCTTAAAAATTAAGAGATTAATTTGAATTTACAAGAATCAAAATAGTCTGATAATTACTAAAAAAATTCTCCATACAGGTAAATCTGTTCACTCTCATTACGAATCGAATCTAATCTAATTTCATTATTAAGTAATTATATGTAGTATTATAGGAAAAAGTTATTTGATATATGTAAGGTTCATAAGAATAATAATGAACAAAGATGATTATGTAAGAATCATTTTTTTATCAAATTCATTAAAGGAATATTGAATTTAACAAAAGGACTAAAGCAATTATGATTGAAATTGAAAATTTTATACAAAAAAATTCATTAAATAAATAAGCATCCTGACTAACTACATAATAATAAATGAATCAATTAAATTCATAAGGTAAATATATTGTTCTATGCTTTTTTTAATTACTATCTATCAGCATTTTAGCATTTTTAACAATAATTACAATATTGAATAAAATTTAATAAATTAAAAAATATTAATTTTTCATTTAAATACTTAATTTAATATCTCTACTTTAGATCTACCTGAAAAATGTACACATGGATACAAATCTTTGGATGTATCAATATTGAGAGTCTAATAATAATAAATAGAAATTGATACAAATGATTGATTTGTGGATTACTTTGTCCATTTCACGTACTTCTTTTGAATATCCACTTCAACAATTATAATATCATTTGTTGAAAATGGAAATGCTATTTATTGTGTATGTTTATCTTATTAATCATGATTATAACATTAACCATTATAATAAATATTATATGTTCTATTTTGATTCTATTAATATCATAAATATACCCTTATCCAATATTATAACAATTGCTATAAT